AAAATTAGACAAAAATTCTAACAATTTTCATACCGCCTAGATGGAGCTTTGAATTTTACAAAGCAATTCATAAAATAATGACGTATGGTAGTTTGATAAAAATGAAGTTTTTGAAATAGAAAATTAACTGAGAATATTTTGTAAAATTACGATAATTGTTTTTACAGTGATATATGAAAATAGTAATTTTTAACATACCTGCAAGTTATAGAAGTTACTAGATGGTGCGGGCTGATGTTGGTGGTGGGTTTGAGCGTGTGGGTGAGGATGAGGTGACATTCCATGTTGAGCTCCAGCTGCTGATGCAGCGGCAAGGTGGTGCTGTATCACAGTCGACATTGGCATGCCCATGTACGACCCCTGAGAGAAAGCTGCTGACATCTGGGGCATTCCATTGTAATTTCCTTGAGACATGTGGTGCTGATGGGGACTCTGTAGTAAAACAAAAAACAAACATAATTCATTAGTGCCTGACAATGCCCACTCAAAGTGAAGTCGTCCTAGTTTGAGCAAGATAGTTAGCCAGGCACCCTACCTGTTGATGGGGTGCTGAGTGCTGAGCGGGTAGAGAGGGAGGGGTTGCTCTTTGCTGTGCTTGCTGTGCTTGCTGCTGCTGCTGCTGCGCCTGCTGCTGCTGCTGCTGTTGTTGTTGTTTCTGCTGTCTGCTTCGAGCTGTGCTCCTGGATTTCGGGGCCTTTGGGGCTGGCTGAGGAAGTGGCTGGGGCGGCACTTGTGGTGCAGGCTGAGTGTGACTTTGACCTGACGGCGACTGCAGGGGCGTTACAGACGGCTGCTGGTGCGTCACGTAGGGGCTCTTGGAGGGAGTGGGCTGCACCTGAGAGGGGCTGTGCTGAGGAACGTGCTGGTGGCCCGCGTACGGGGACTTGGCCGGAGGCGGCGGCCCGGATGTTGGCCCCGGCGGCGCGGGTGGGTAACTCTTGCTCTGGCCGTGGTGCGATGGTGGGAACGGCGACTTGGCTGGGGCTGGCGAGGGTTGCTGCGACTGCGGCGGGGGTGCGCTGGGTTGAGAGAGCTGAGCGTGGCCTTGATTTAGATAAGGCGACTTGGACGGCTCGGGGAGCTGCTGCTGCATTTGTGGAGGCAGAGGTTGGTACGCCGGTTTGGACTGGTAAGGCGACTTTGAAGGCGCTGGATGCGACTGCTGCTGCTGGTGTTGCTGGTGTTGCTGCTGTTGCTGCTGTTGGTGATGGTGTTGATGCTGAAGCGAAGGCGGGGTCACCTGCTGCTGCTGCTGTTGTTGTTGTTGTTGTTGCTGTTGTTGCTGCTGTTGCTGCTGCCGGTGGGCGACAGCGTCATGCTGTGTGAACATGGCCATGGGGTAGCCGCCCTTGTGGCCCGAGCCGGGCATGGGGCCGGGCATCGCTCCCTGGTGCATGCCCGGGTGGGAGGTGAGGTACTTGTAGGGGTTCATGTGGTGCTGCGCTTCCCCCATGGCCTTGGCGCCCATGTGCATCATCTGCTGCGCCGCCATCATCGGGTGGTGCATGAACTGGTGGTGCAGCGACAGCTGCTGCGCACAGTCCGAGTAGTGCGACATGTGCCTGTCGTGCATCGACGGCGGGTGCGCGGGCCCGGCGTGAGGGGCGCCGTGGGGGACGTGAGGAGCTCCGTGGTGCGGCGAGGGCTGAGACTGGGGCATGGCGTGCGGAGAAGTCTGGGGGAGTTGCGACGAGTGGGGCTGCGGCATGGAAGAGGCCGGGCCGCCATGGGGAGACGGGTGAGGAGGCATGTGGGGCCCGGCGTGGCCGTGAGTCCCCTGGCTTGGATGCCCCGGAGGGTGGGCCGGCGGGTGCGCTGGAGGATGGGCTGGAGGGTGCGTCGGCGGGTGGGCTGGCGGGTGGGCTGGAGGGTGGCTTGGAGGGTGGCTTGGAGGGTGGGCTGGTGAGTGCCCCGGGGTGTGTCCTGGAGGGTGCCCAGGAGGATGGGCCGGCGAGTGGGCAGGTGGGTGCCCTGATGGGTGAACTGGTTGGTGACCCGGTGAGTGGCCCGAGGGGTGCCCAAATGGATGGCCCGGTGGGAGGCTAGGTAGGTGCCCCAATGGGTGCCCCTGTGGGTGCGCCGGGGTGTGGCCCGGTGACCCATTGGCGGCGTGGGGGTAGGGCGCTCCGTGTTGCGCTCCAGGGTGCGGCGGCGGTGGTCCGTAGGGTGGGCCGCACGGCGACGCATGCGTCGGTCCTGAGTGCGGTCCATGGGGAGGTGTGTGGGGAGGACCGTGAGGAAGTCCATGAGGCTGGCCGAGCGGCCCCGGGTGAGGCTGGGGGTGCGGCTGCGCGGGCGCCACCAGCGGCGGTGCAGTCGGCCCCACAGGAGGACCCACAGGGGGCCCCACAGGCGGCGGCACGTTTGGAGGCGCGCTGGGTGGCCCAGCCATCGGTCCGCAGCTTGGTGGTCGGCTCGTGGGACCGTTGGTCGTGGTGCCCGGCCCCGGCGGGGCCTGTCGGCTGAGAGGAGGCGCCGCGGCTCCCGCTGGGGTGCGGGGGCCCTCGGGGTGCGAGTGGTGTGAGCCGTCCCCCGAGGCCGGGCCGCCAGGGCCCATGTCCGTGGACGAGATGGAGGTCGGAGACTCGAGGCCCAGGTCGCACTGATTGTTGTAGCCGTGCATGGAGTGAACGGAGTTGGTGGTCGAGTCGGGGGTGTACACACCCAGGCTGTGCAGCTCGGGCGCCGAGGGGGCTTTCACAGAGCCAGGGTTCTGTGGTGTGGCAGGCTGGAGAGAGTCCCCGCAATGGTCTGCGTGGGGAGTTGAACTAGCACTGTCAGGGATCTGGAATGAGAATAGCATTGAATGAGATGATAACTAAAATCTAAATTAAAATCAAGAACAATTCTTTAACTTAGAAAAAGAGAATAAATGAAGACCAAAAACTCACCTCTGAGTTAACAGAATGCACTTGCTTTTCTGTCTCATTTGTAGTTACTGCGTACGGCACATCACTAGCCAAAGAACTCCTATTTCCAGCTGCATCACTTCCTGGTGATTTATCAATATTTTCAGAACCTATGAGTGACGGTGATTGCACCCGAGTCATTTGACTGTATCCATTGTTCCTGAGAGACTCTACACTCCTTGGCATTCCATAGCAATAGGTGTCCAACCTTTTGGTGGCCTGATTAGGTTGAGCTGGTTCTTGATTCAAGGGTGCTTCTGGAGCACATTCATAACTTGTCTGATTTCTCTGAGATTGTAGATCCGGATCAAAAGTTGGCTCCCCACTAGAGGCTTGATGATCTGGCTCCTTATCAGAGCAATGAGAGTGTAGCATTTCATTTTGCTGTGGTTGTGGCTCTTGATGCTGCTGCTGTTGCTTCTGTTCTTGATCCTTTTTCTGTTGCTCTTCTTGAGATTGCTGCTGCTGCTCCTGTTGCTGTTGTTCTTGAGTCTGTTGCTGATCCTGAGGAGCCTCGCATTGCTGAGAGGTACTGCTACTACTACTACTGCTGGAACTTTGTTGATTCTGATTCACAGAGGGCGAGGGAGGAGGTTGTGGCGATTGTGGCGGCAACTGAGGGGATTTATCACACGAGTCCGGCTGAACTGGAGGCGAAGTGTCTTGAGATTCATCATCATTACTGCCCTGACTAGATGACTCTTTACCCTGTTCCAAGTGGTCATTATCACTTA